GCACACCAGCACTTCCATTAAACAGCTTCAGACTTCACTTATGACTTAAGTAGCTAGTGCTGAGACACTTGGCTCTGGTCCTCTCCTTGCCTGTTTTCACAGCCCTTCTCCTTAATCAAAGAACTCACTAAGGTTGCTCCGTTCTACCCATCTTCTCTTCTGCCAGGCGTCCATGGCACGCCTGAGCAGATGCCCCCGAGGGACTACGCAAGCTGCACAGCTACAATGTGGAATCTCATTCCCCACTTCCAGAGCAGTGAGAAACTCATGCCAGTGCTCAGGTCCTTGTCCAATGGGAAGCTGCTCTAGAGGCCCTTTCCCAAGCAACAGGAAAGGTTGGGGAAGATATGGAAGGGGAAAAAAAGGGTCAGAGATGCGCTCTAGGCTTTTGGCTTGGACCATTGGGGAGGTATATAAAACCCACACGTTGTGTGTAAATATAAAACCCCAAATTGTGCGTAAAGCCCCCCCCACCAGTTTTAAAGCACGTACTCTTAATGTATATAACTAAAACCAGCTGAATGTGGCAATCAGTAAACGGAGACGACATATTAGAGGCACCAGGATGCAGGGCTAGCTAGGAGATGGGAAACATTTCCCTGCTCTGCCGCTGCCTGAGTTGCCCCTGAGACAGATGGGGGCTCCTCTCTGGGCCCTCCCTTTCCTTCTTACGAATGGAAAAGTAAAGTATGCCAGAAGCCTGAGATCTATTACCTCTAAAATGTAAGCATGGCTCAGATGAGAGAGAGAGAGAGATCATATAATCAAAGTCCTTGAGAATTTCATGAACACCTAGGACCTTCTTAGGAAAATTTAGGAAAAACGTACATACACAATGGTGGAGTAAATCCTTTTTCCTCCACTCCCAGCAGCTCACGGAATCAGGAGACTTCCAACGCTCTTTCATGTTCCCAAACTCTGTGATTTTATGATTCTCCAAACAAAGACAAGCCCTCTGCAGTGCTGTAAATCACCTTATCTCTCCCAGAGAAATGCGGACGAAATGCATCTGCCTCTCTTAGCAGCTCTGTTCTCTCTCTTCCCTTTGAGTTACTCTGCTGTCTATTTAAAGTGGAGTCCCTTCGGGCAAAGGCTATCCGTCTTTGTAAGTATTTGTTCCAGCAGCTAGAATGCGGTTGGATGCTTAACAATGCCTAATTATAATAATAGGGATCATGGTATAATGCCATCTGTAAACCTCGATAAGCTTAGGGTAGCATCGTAATATTTTAAAACCTGTACAAAATAGTAGGCGGGCAGCACTTAAAGGAATATATGAGGGACTTTGTGCTTATATCCTTTAATACAGGGTTAATTAAACATCTCCAGGAGTTCATCTCTAAGGCTCCATGTCTTTTAGCATATAGATGGAACTGGATATATGTTCGTAGATTATTTGAAGCTGTCAGAATTAATCACTTAGAGAGCTGTTCACTGAGGCTTGTGACTCAACAGTTAAGGTCAGCTTTGCATAGATCATCCAGCACGTGATAGGTTTGGTTTGGGAAGTGATGTTTCCTAGCTGGTTGAAGCATGCCAAACACTTACCTGCTTTCTTAAGCAGATTCTCCGGAACACAGCCTCTCCTTATGAGTATCGGTTATTATATTTGTAACTGGGATCCGATGTTGAGAGAAAACGGGCTGGAGCCCTGGCAGGGCCCAGGAGATGCTCTGAATTCTAAAGAGAGACGCTGGTGCCCCTCTGTGCAGAGAGCTGAGGCAGCGTGGTGAGCATGGAGACGGCGGGGGCAGCCTGCTGAGATCGGAGACAATGGATGCAGCCTGAGGACCAGTCTGTCTCCCTTCTTGCAGGAAAGGGTTGCTGGACTGTTTCAGACAAGTCTCCCTGCCTTCTGGCCTTCGTTCCATCATTTTCTATAACTGTAGGACTGCTGCAGACATGGTGGGAGAAGTAGGCTTGTTGTATTCTTCTCTTCTGTTCTGGCCAAGTTGCAAATAAACCAAGTTCTGTTTCCTGATTCCCGTTTGGAACACAGGGAAATGAAGGCGACAGGCTCTAGTCCTGGATGGCTCAATGTGTTGAGCTATGTGATGGACTTCAATACTCTTTAGGCCTGACAGTATGTGTGTGTGTGTGTGTGTGTGTGTGTGTGTGTGTGTGTGTGTTGTATGCACACATATGTGCTCATGTACTTTCAGGGGAGAGAGGAGTGTGCCTGGTGTCTTTTTTTTTGTCTATTCCCTTGAGGCAGGGTCTTTATGAAGTTAGGGGAATCCTAGCAATCCTAACCCTCTTGTCCCCACTTCTGGTAGCACTGGGGTTACAGGCATGCATGGCCGTGTCTAGCACTGGGGTTACAGGCATGCATGGCCGTGTCTAGCACTGGGGTTACAGGCATGCATGGCGTGTCTAGCACTGGGATTAGAGGCATGCATGGCGTGTCTAGCACTGGGGTTACAGGCATGCATGGCCATGTCTAGCCTTTTCTGTGTGCTGGGGTTTTGAACTCAGATCTTCATGTTTGCATGGCAAGCACTCCTACCCACTGAGCCATCTACTGAGTTCAGCCTAGGTAATCTCATTGTCTATTCAAGTATGTGCAGAATTGTTTGCCTCAACACTAAACTGGCTTTGGATTTTGATTTGTTAGAGAAGTCCAAGCATGCAGTTCAAAGAGATGACTAGTTCTTTTTATTTGTTTGTTGAGACAGAGTCTCACATCATCCAGGCTGGCCTCAAACTTTCTGTGGAGCTAAGGATGGTATTGGATTTCTGATCCTCCTGCCTCCACCTCCCAAGCGCTAGGTCTATAGGCACGCAGAGATAAATAATTCTTTCAGGATTGTTAAGAAACCAGCTGTGCCCAGCTGCCTTGCTTCTGTTCTCCTCTTCCCTACAGGGAACCACTTTCACACGGCTGATTAAAAATTGTCCTTCCATATCTATAAATAACATGGTGGTGCTCTTACCTCTTGACTCTTCTCTGTTTGGCTACATCTATTGGCTTCTCACCAGGGAAGGTAGGATTTGGTTCCTGAGCTCACTTCTCATCCTTCAAAGATAATTCATCATAATCTTCGTTAAATCAACAGTCAATGTTTACATTATTATGACTTTATATGCTATTTAGAATTCAGTCATGTAGAAAACTATAATTACTTTCCTTTTCCTGAGCAAATCTTTGTGTTTTCCCCCCCAAGTTAATAATCTTTTTTTTTGTTCTAAATTTTGCTTTAGTTTCCTGCGTGTTATTTCTGACTCAATCCATTGTCTGAATCAATGCTTCTAAAACTATCTGTGATGAGTGATTAGTTCTTTTTTTTAAAAAAAATTCTAGTCTGTAGCAGACAGATACTTTGCTAAAACACATTTCTAGAACAGGCCGTTCATGAACAGCGCCTGCTGGCCAGCCGCATTCTGCAGAGCTCAGTTCAAGTTGCCTTTGATGCCTCTAACCATCCGGTGTTCTATCAGATTTCTTCTCCAATTATTTATTTATTTATTTAAAAGTTTTTTTTCCCATTTTGCATACCAACCACAGTTCCCCCTCCCTCCCCTCCTCCTGGTCCTCTCCCACCTCTCCTCCCCCCCGCCCCCTCCCCTTCCACTCCTCAGGAAGGATAAGGTCTCCCGTGGGGAGTCAACAAAGTCTGGCACATCAAGTTGAGGCCGGGCCAAGCCCCTCGGCCCTGTATTTCGCCTGAGCAAGGTACACCTCCGAAGGGAACGGGCTCCAAAAAAAGTCAGTTCATGCGTTAGGGATAAATCCTGGTCCCGCTAGCAGCTGTCTTTTAAAGGAAGGTTCTCTGAGGCCTTTTTGGACACACCAGTGTGGGCTGGCAGCCTTCTCTTCCTCTTTACTTTCCACTTCCCAGCCACAAGTTGAGTGGCCTTGTTCTCCACCTGATGCTCCCACCATGACGGTCTGACACAGGTCTAAACTTCAGGATCAACTCTGAACTGAAGCCCCACCCCCACCCCCCCACAAAAAACCATGAGCTAACCCCTGCTTTTATCACTGTAAGCTGAGTATCCCAGGTATTTGTTACAGAGACTGAAAATACACACAGGCATTCTCCCTCCTCCGTTTTCTCCTTCTAGAAGCACAAGTTTTGGACGTCGGACGCCTAGATTTACCTCTCACATGGGGGGCTTTGTACATAAATGAGTTGGATCCTGTGATGGGAGATGTCATTCTGCAAATCTGTCTCTCTTACTGGTTGTTGAATAAAGCACTGTTGGCCAGTAGGGAAGCAAGATAGGTGGGACTAGGAGTCAAGGAGGATTCTGGGAAAGAGAGGCAGAGTCAGACACAATGTAGGCTACCAGAGGAGTAACAGGTCCAGACCCTTTTCTCCGGTAAGAGAAATACTTAGATTAGCAATTATGGGTTAAATATTTAAGTCAGAGCTAGCCAGTAAGAAACCGAGCAAACGGCCAACAGCTTCATAATTAATACAGCGTCTCGTGAGTTATTTGGGGGCTAAAGCAGGCAGTGGGACCTAAGCAGTTGGCGGGAAGACACGTTACAATCCTGGGCAACTCCATTACCTGATACTGACTCGGAAGTCAGCACCCTTTAGGCTGCTAGTCAGCTACCTTCTACCGACCAGAATTGTGTGTTATCTAACCCCAAAGGGTTTGCACGTTTTTTATCGTAAGCTTTGCGGGATTTTGCAAGGGATTGAAATGAAACCTGCGTGCATTCCGGCATCTTTACAATAACTGTATCTGCTTTCTAGTCTCTCTGGTTGTCAGCCGTCCCATCCTTCCAACCAAGTAGCGTGATAATCGAGGATGTAGCTGTAGGAGTCCACAAGCTCCCAGATGTCTCCTAATAGCTGTGTGACCTTGGACCAATAGCTTCCTCTTCCAAAAGTTTAGATTTTCTATCTGTCTGATGGCGACAGCAATCACACCGACTCTGCACGGCTGTTGGTAAACACTGTAGAATGTGCGTGACTTCATAAATGGAGGCTGTTACGGCCACGACTACTAAGGGTTTCACACGCTTTTTTTTTTCTTCTCTGTCACAGAAAGGCAATGGACCACAAAACTGTGTCACCATACAAGTTAAGCTGAAGTAAGTTCTTGGGGATGGGGTGGGGTGGGGTGGCTTTCCTGAGGTGAAGTAGATAAATTATTTCATCTGTTTTGTATCCTCTCTTTTGACTACCCCAGTTGAGACACCAAGTTTACACCTATTCTTTCTGAAAGCAGCCGGAAGATGGCTCTCAGCATGAGATCTCCAGAGCGGTCATGATGACGGAGTCCAAGAAAGACGTCAAGGCGTTGTCTTCTGCCTCCGGCCTTGTGCGCCTCTTGCTGAAGCCTGTGGTTCCAAGCTCCTGTTTGCTTCCTTCTCTCTGCCAGGTCTACAGGACCCAGGGCCAAGGCTGACCCTCTCTGAGAGTCAGCAAAGCTTTTTACCGTTCCTGGTGAAAAGCTTTCCTTGGCCTTTGTGGAGCCCTCTCCCTGGCCTCCAGTGCCCACGCTAACGCATCCCGTCTGCTGGGCTTCACCATCCACGGCCTTTGCGGCTGTTACGTGTAAGTGCTGTATGTGTAGATTCTTGTCTTAACCTTAGACCACAAACTGGCACCTGGTATAGCTTCAGTATATATAACGTGAAATGAGTTTTCTTTTTGTTAGCGAATGTGTGAATGAAAAGATTTCAGATAATGTTTTTGTATGCACATAAGGGATAAAATTATTGAATGGAGGAACTTGAATATGTCATCCCTCTAGCTGGTTTTCTTTCTTTCTTATTTCCTTTCTTCATTTTTCCTCTATTTCTCTTTCCCTCACGCTCTCCCTCTCTCCCTTCACCCCATCCTTTTTTTTGTGTGTATGTTTATGGACAGACTTTTCCTTTGTCATTCCTCCTGAAATAATACACTGTTTATATGGTGTTGTGGGATTCCCACCTGGGTCCCCTTGCCACTTTAGCCCCCAAGTAACACACAAGACACTATATTAATTATGAAGCTGTTGGCCGTTTGCTATGGTTTCTAATCAGCTAGCTCTGACCTAATTATTAACCCATAATTACTAATATATATTTTTAAAAGGACTTATCTTTCCAAGGAGGCAGCCTCATGCATCCTCTTCCTGCAATCACATGGTGACAACTCTCTTCGATACATTTCCCAGAATCCTTCTAGACCCTTAGTCCCACCTATCTTGCTTCCCTATTGGCCAACAGTGCTTTATTGACATATACACAGAAGGACTTCCCCCATCATCCTGGCATTTACATCATACCAGTGATTTTTTTTTTTGTAGTCTAGAGATCATTGAAATGGGAAGATCTGTGGAGATTAACCATGAGTATGTGGTTCATCCTGTCTAATGGGGGCTTGAACATCCAGGAACTCTGGTACCTTCCTGAGAGGGGCTGTGAAACCCAGGTGACCTCTCTTTGTGACACTGACATGTGGCGCCAGGCCTCAGCTGCTCTCCACAACCTCCTCAATCTTTAAAAACAGCAGCATGTGGGAGACTCTTAGACACTGCCGACTAGGCCGGCAGCTTGAGATCCAGCCTGGCTTCCCTGGGCCACAGCGTCCGTGTGCTGAGCCTCAAGAAACAGTCTTCAGGAGATTTAGCCTCAGTGATGCATGCATCTCAACCAGTCACAGCTGGTTTTCCAGCCACCACTAGCCACGTCCATTGGCCTAGCAGAGCAAAGGTTTCTCTTTTACAGGTTTCTTAATTCAAATACAGCACACAAAGGACTCAATAGAGCCTTGGGCAACTTTTACGCTTTCCTTAAGACCCCACGGGCCAGAATTTCACCATCCGTGTCTCTCTCAGCGTTCCCATCCTCTAACCCTGCACAGAACAGCCCATTAAACTCAGAACACTCAATGGATTTTCCAGCTCACAGTTCAAGTGCTTTCTTCCACAGGAGTCTTCCCCAAAAACAACGTGGTCAGGTACATGCCAGCACCAACCCCGCTTTTAGTACTGATTTCCGTCTAAGGTACTTTTGGTTGTGTGCTTGTCACAGCAACAGAGAGCCAACCAGGGCAAGGTGTCTCTATGTATGCATGCATGCATGCATGCATGTATGTATGTATGTATGTATATATGTATGATGTATGTATGTATGTATGATGTATGTATGCATGCATGCATGCATGTATGTATGTATGTATGTATGTATGTATTTAATTTTAATCACCACACCAGGTAAAGAAAGAGACACAAACGTTTGTCCAGGCTGGTCTTGAACTACTTTCTTCCAGTCTCTGCCTTCTGAGGAACTGGGGTTGCAAGCTTGTGCCTGATGCCAGGCCCACCTAACTACAAAATGCTTTTCCTCTATACATTATTAGCCATTATTCTCGGAAGTTTGCTTGAGTAGGGAACTTTGGCCCACTCCCGTTCTGCCCATGTCCCTTTCTGTTTACCAGCTGGCCAATGGCAGTGGCACGGACAGGAGCCATCCCCCCTTTTTTTTCAACAACATCCAACCAGACACAGTTTTGTTTCTTTTGAGGTCACCCCAGCAGAAACATTTCAGTTATGTTTCTGGGTATTCATTGCTCTTCTTAAAATGTAAGCTCCGCGTACGCAGTGTCTAGTCACTTAAGGCAGGGCAAGCTTCACACATCTAGTGAGGGAGCAGCTCACACGATTAAAAACAATGGGCTGTGGCCACTGCAGCGTGTCTACTTCAGACTTACGGCGGCAGGGCCTATCCACCGGCAGACTCTGGCAGCTCCAACTTTTATCCCCACAGCTTCTGAAGGAATCTGCGTTTTAACATAATGAGGGTGCTGGCGAAACCAGCTCATTATCATTTTAGAAGAATTTCGGGGCTGAATCAAACACCAGACTTGATGTTCAAGATGTACCACCAACAGACATTTATTTAATGAACTATCCTCTGCTCGCAGATGGAGGTTGGAGTTGTCTTCGCATGCTCTAAATGTCAAGTGTGCATCTTTAGACTTAGTGGAAAGAGGAAAAGACAAAATATGATGCACTGAACCTTGTTATGGGATCCCAAACACAGGGGCCCAGCCTCCAGCAGCTGCGATCCTTTCCTGGGTCTCATTGCTGGGGGAGGTGGAGACTCTGAGGGGGTCTAAGTGTCTGATTAGTGCCACTGTTCCAAATGTAAGTAGTGGCAAACCCTTGAGATTTCAGGTGAGAACTGGGCTCTTTGAAAGTGTTTTTTTTTTCCTTTTTTTTATCAGCTGGGTGTGGTGGCACACACCTTTAACCCCAACCCTCAGGATGCAGAGGCAGGCAGATCTCTGAGTTTCAGGCCAGCAGATCTACAGAGAGTCAGTTCCAGGACAGCCAGGGCTGTGCAGAGAAACCCTGTCACAAAAAAACAAAACAAAATAAAACAACGAAAAAAGTGTTTGTTCTCTCTGGGCCGTAGTTATTCATGGGTGGGGCGATAGTTCATAGAGCCCCCCCCCACCCCGCATGTGTTTTTTCTCTCTCAGTAGGTCTTTGAAAGAGGGGACCGGCTGTGGTGATCTTTCTGGGAGGCAAAAGGAGGCCAGCAAAGCAGGAGGCAGCCTCAAGACTGACCTTGACGGCACTGACCTTGACGGCACCAGAGATGGTGTTGAGCGTCCCGACAGCCGCTACCCAGAAGAAGAAGCTATTACGTGCATATGACCCCAGAGCAAATGGGGAGACACGAGGGTCACTTTATCAAGCTACGTTTCTTGATGTGTCCCCTGGGTGCAAGGTGTCCCTGCTCTGGAGCACCAGCTGGCCATCTCTTAGAGAGAAACCCTGGTCTTTTTGGCAAGGGCTGAGAGGGATGAGGAAAGAGAAAAAGACACCTTGGTCACACCGAGTCTGCGGATGCTCCCCCCCAGGCTGTAGTAGTAGCTTCATGAACTCCAGCCAGTGTGGCTCCACAGATGATATTAAAGCAGTCTTCACGGTAAAGGGTGTCCCTTCCATCTCAGGTGGGGGGGGGCGGTGAAGCAGGTCTCTGTCATCCAGGCAAGATGGGGTTTAGTTGAAGACCTGGCTTGACGATTCGTGGCCTTGTGGGCCACACGGAAAGCTCAAATGTGGTAGGCGAGCATGCCCATTCTCAGTAGCCTGGGCAGAGACCAGGAAGCTATGCATCTAGCTGTGGCTGAAGTAGCCAGCCCCCCTCCCCCCCTGCCCCATACCCTCTGATGTGGCCTCTGTTTTCCTTGTCACCTGTGAACTGGACTTAAAGAGGCGTCCTGTTTTATGCATCCAAAACCCAAGTTTCTCCCTTCTCTGTCTTGTGAAAACGCAGCAAGTTCCCATTTGTTCATGGCACAGTCTAGGCAGGCATGTGAGCATCGGAGCTCAGATCTTCAGGGACTCAGCACAGATTTTTGTCGGTGTCATTTTATAGACAGAGGATTTTCCCATTGTGTGAATGATGTAGTCTGCGTCTGTCAGTCTGTCTGGTTCTTCTTCCTACTTGGAATCAAAACTCTCTCTCTCTCTCTCTCTCTCTCTCTCTCTCTGTGTGTGTGTATGTGTGTGTTTAATATGCACTTTGGGATCACAATCAAGTGTGTGAAGATTGTCAACTTGATGGGACTTAGGAACAGTCTGGCACAAATCTCAAGGCAAGCCTGTATGGTTCCATTAAGGTAGGAGCATCCACCCTACTGTGGGTAGTAACATTCTATGGGCTGGGCCTTGGAGTAAATAAAAAGAAGGAGTTGAGCACCGGAATCAGCCTCCCTCTGCTCCCTGGCTAGGGACACACTGGCACCAGCTGCCCCAGGTTCCAAATGGTGGCTTCCTCTGCCTTGGTGAACTCTATTCCCTCAATCTGTGAGACAAAGAAGCTTTTCTTTCCTTAAGTTGCTTTGTTCCATATTTTGTCACAGCAGTGAGGAAAGTGACAATACCTCAGGTGTGAGGAACACAGCTTTAACCTCCATACTTGGGAGGCTGGCACACACAGGGGGATGGTGAGTTTGTGGCCAGCCTCCTTCCTACGTGGTAAGGTCTTGTCACAAGTGCACAGAAATCAGTTTTTACATGGAGGGAAACCTGGGTTCCTGAAGGACTCCACACAGAGTAATCATATGACACACAATTTCATGTCTAGGCACAGACCCTGCACATTTCAAAACAAAGACCCAAAGAGTTCCTCACACACCAGGGTTCGCTGCACGTTATTCATGGTGCCTGGAGGTGAAACCCCAAGTGTGGTGTGCACATGCGATGGACAGTTATTCAGCCACAAAAAAGGATGATGTTTGAAGCGCGCTGCTTCTTGAACGAACACGGAAAGCGTGCATGAAGTGACGGACTCCTGAGGAGAAACAGGCAAGCCCAGCAGAACAACGGGGCTGGGCGCAGGGGATGAGGAGTCACCGCCTAACGCAGAGCTTGCTTGACGTGGTCAAATGTTTTAGAACCAGGGACAGTGATGCATGCTTGCGATCCCAGCACTCAGGAGACTGAGGTAAGAGAGAGCTGCCACGAGTTGTCAGGTCAGCCTGGGGTGTAGAGCAAGACCCTGTCTTAGTAATAACAACAACAACAACAAAAACGTTCCGGGATCAGATAGTAGGGGTGTTACACGACCCTGTGCGTGTACTCAATACCACCGAAATGTACATGTTAAAGTGGCCAGGCATGGTGGTCCATGCCTGTTTTCCCAGTACTCAGGAGGCTGAAGGCTGGAGGGTTGTGAATTTAAGTCCAGCTTGGGCTACATAGTTTGAGGTAAATCTGGGGTATAAAGCATGACCCTGAACACCTCCCTCCAAAGAAACAAAAGTAAGTTAAAGTAAATGTATGTATGTATACATATACATATATACATATATATATGTATATATATATGCATGCAATAAAGGAAGTCTAAAATGAAGAAACAAGGTGTGGCAGATGGAGGGAACAAGTGGATCTGGACAGGAATCTGTGCTGCCGCCCACCCAAAGGAATTGGGCCAGTGACTTAACAACTCTGAACTTTTCTGTTCTGAAGGTGAGGATGATGGTGCCTGACTCAACGACTTGCTGTGGAATGTAAATTAACCAGCTAGTACCGACCCAGATTTCTCTGCAGTGGGTGTTGGAGGTGGTCGAGGCCCCGAGTCATTAATTATCGAATGTCTGTCTCTGTAGGGTTTGGACGCACAGACACTGAGGGTCTTTTTACCACAGACACTGCTGAGCAGTTAAACAATAACTGAGATTATATTCTTGTTTTGAAAGAACTTTTTTTCCCTTAACAGAATGCCAATGAAGAACCAGGTGTTTGAAAAATGTGGCTGTGTTAAGTTAAATGAGCCTTTTTTGGACTCCAGATGGGAGCATAAAGCTGTTTGAAACCCCAACTGCTTTTTTTCTTGTTGGTTTTCATGTGACTGAAAAAACATGATCCCACCGTGGCAGAGAGAGTTCTTGCTGCCAGCTTCACTGCTGCTATTTGGGAAAAAGAAGAGATGTTAAGCAAAACCCGCAACCTTTGGAAACAGGAGGCTTGTGCCAGAAGTGGCAGGCTCTTCACGTGGCTCTCCCTGTCAAGGACGGAGCCATCCATTGCCTCATCTCAGGAAACTGGAAGATGCCTAGCAAGTTTCAAAAGGCTCACAGAGGGCCAGCGAGTCATCTCAGTGTGTAAAGCACGGGTAATCAAACTTGATCATCTGAGTTTGAACCCTAGGACCTATACCATAGAAGGAGAGAATGGCCCCTACAAGATGTCCTCTGACCTCCACAGATGGCACACGCACACACACACACACACACGCACACTCACACACACACACACACACACACAAAACTAAATAACAAGTAAACAAAATACCCACAGAAATTTCTGGAACACGTCTATTAGACTGTTTGGTATCTGTGTTCCAAAGAGCATCCATAGTAAATCTGCTCTCGTTGTGTTAGTGTTTTCTTTTCAAACGAGGTCTACCAGATTCTTCAGGGTACTGACTTCAGCCTCCCAATAAAGCACAGCTGCCTGCGGACTTGGGAACTGGCCCTTTGAACATTAGGAGGCATCTCTGCAGGCTCCCTTCTTGCTTGAGACACACACGACCACTGAAAAATAGCATGCCTTTCTATCTAACCCTCTGGCCTCTCAAGGAACCATCTGTGGAGCAGAATTGGGATTCAGCTAGGGGTGCCGTTGTGATCTGGGAGAGTGAATGAGCCTCCTAGAACTCATCTTCTGTTCTCCGCCACCTCTGTTGTACCATGGGACAGGGGTGGCTTTAATAACTGCTTTTGGAGCTTTCCTGATCAACTGGAAGTCCGTAGGTTTTCTGGAGAGATTTAGTGTCTGGAACAGTTCATGTGCCTACTGCCTGTTGAAGTTAATAAGGTGCTTTGTGCAGGCTAAGCAGGCTAACTGCTCATAGATAACTGCTATTACATTGTGGTGTATAACTTCAGGCTTTTTTTCCATGCCTAAATATCAGTTTTCAGTTTTTGCAGGAAAAAAAGCAATCATACTGAACTCAGCTTAAACATGTCATTATCAAATATTAATGTATTACGAATATATTTTTAAAAAACACTTAAACTGTTGAGACAGAATCTTGTTGCATAGCACAGGCTGGTCTTGAACTTACGACCCTCCTGTCTCAGTTTCCTGAGGGTTGTGTTACAGCTATGTGCCATCAAACTCAGCTTCATATAATATATTAATATATTACACTACTATTAATTACACATTTATAAAATACAACTATATATTCATGTGTATGCATGCCTGTGGGTGGCACCTGCTGTGGGTGGAACCCAGGGGTCAGAGGACAGCTTTCTCCTGTCCTGGGGATGGGGCTTCATCCTCATCTTAGCAGCAAATGCCCTTACCCCACTGAGCTATCTACCAGATCATGTGACATTCTTCAGTGGCCGCTTGGGTTTTTGTTTTTTTTCATTTTGTGAATGTGTGTAGTATGTGCATGTGTGTGCATGTGTCTGTGAATTTGTGTGTGTGTGTGTGTGTGTGTGTGTTGGGGGGGTTGCACAGGTTCACACATGGAGGCCAGAGGTTGACATTAGAAAGATATTGTCTTTCCCTCTCCACCTTGTGTTTTGAGACAGGGTCTGTCACTGAACATGAAGCTTACTGAAGGGCTAGACAGGCAGGCCGTGGGCCCTTGGGATCCTTCTGCATCCCCTCTCAGTGCTGAGATTGCAGGCATGCCCCCACCATGGTTCTGTATGTACGGGGTGGGGGGACCCAAACTCAGGTCTTTCTGCTGTGTGAACACTTGCCCTATGGGGGCCGTCTCCTCAGGCTCCTGGCTGCTCATGTCTCACCACGTGGGTTTCACATCCGTAACGAATTGTCTACTACTAGATTTGGTAATCTAAGAAACTGCTACTAGCTAGAATTAGGTTTGACTTTATTTATAGGAAAACAACGGAGAATAAGACTTGAACAGGATGGATATTTCCTCCTCTTAGTGTCCAAAGGTGGGCAGTCCAGGGCTGATACAGCGGGTTCTGGGAACTGGTGCTTCATCTATCTTCTCTTCCATTTTGGGGAGGGCTTCAACCCACGAGGTCAACTCTTAGCTTCAGGAAGCTGTTGCTGCAGGAACTCTGGGTATCACATCAAAATTCAAGGTCGTGCAGTGGAGAAAGAGCCCAGAGGATCTCTCCCAGGACAGCCAGCTTCTTTAAGGAACCTCTCTAGAAGTCCTACATATCACTCCCGCTTTCTCAAAGTTGGTTATGCACGGTTAGCTTACAAGGGTGGTTGTGAAGAGCCAGGGAGATGGCTTAGGTCCAGGGGACCTGAGTTTGGTCATTGAAGAGGTGAATGGAGAGATCCGATGTCACAAAGCTGTTTTCCTTGCAGAATGAAGAAACACCTTGTCGGTTTGCACTTAGCCCTGGCCTGCAGAGCCTCCCTGAGTGAATCGTAATGGGGCAAGTCCTCTCAGTTCCTTTCAGCGGGGCTACATGAGTGTA